CCGATATAACTGCCCTCTACAACTTTTAATTAAGGTATTTTGCTCTAAAACAATTCTGTAAGCCGTATTATTCCAACAAAATTGGCATGTTTTTGTACGTTGTTTTCGGTGGTGTGGCGTCCTCTTAAGAGCCCGAAAAAGCGAAAGAGGTTTCTCTAGTTTATCGAAATTAATTTTGGATAAATGATCTTTTAATCTTAATGGCTTCATTGCCTCATTAGAAAATGTTTTTTCACATATAAGGCAAAATGGTAACTGTACATTATGTGGTGACTCGATAAAACCAAACTTTAGGTACTCTAGTAAGTACCGATGGCACTTTTTTTCAATCATTATGAAATATTTATGTTTCAAAATACTAAGTTAAAATTAGGTCTGTTAATTTTGTCAGAAAAGCACTCGTTTATTCGAAAACGAGACGTTTACCGTAGCGATATCAATCACGCACTGCAAGGTACGCAATACAATAGTCTTATTATGGTTGAAAATGTATAAATAAATCTATTATAAACATGACGTTCCCTATTGACACTTAAAATCCGATTATATAACATGGAGTATGACGTCGTATAGCGTGCGCAATTACAACTATTCTAATTTCACGTTCAATTCGTAGTGTTGCTAAATACAGTGAGTTCCGCTTAATATGATCACTGGCTTATGGAATCAACCGTTTATTAGAATCAAAAATGAAAATCCCAAACCAATTTGTATGTTACTAATGTTAAATTGACCTTTTATTAGAATCACCAAGTACCGGATAATTGAATCACTTTTAACCTAACCCTTTTTTTTTTTTCGAGGTATCGAGAACCGGGGAAGGAACTGTTTTTCACATTGCTTCTCCTCCGGCCCCCATCGTTAATTGTACTTAAAACATAATATTTATTTACAATAAAGCGCTCTTTGCGCGATCCCACGACCTGGCAGACTTTCCTTAGCGTTTGCTAGTGGGTATGTGTCTGCCAGGGAGTGATACTCGGGGACTTACAATCAAAAAATTACAATAGTGCTTATGGCGCCGTCTTGAGGTGTCGGTGACGCTATCTTCACGGCCCGGCGTTGGAGCCCGCCAGCCTCGATTCCCGTTCTGTCCGACTTCGCGACCCGGCTCGGAGCTAGCCGGTCTCATGGCACGTTCATCGCTGCTGTGCTTCGAGAGGCCCGGCGCTGCGGCCCGCCAGCCTAGAGGTCTCGTACGCTATCCGTCATCTTCCCCTCCTTTGTCCAGCTGCCAGCGCCTGCCGAGCTCGTTCCGCCTGTTCCTGGAGACCAAGTATTGCCTCGACCATCTTGTAAAACATTCGGAACTTTTCTTCCGCCTAAGCCAGTAGGGTGGCTTTCTCCTCGTGGTCCGCGGGTAGGAGGTCGAAAGTCCGGCCCACACAATATATCGGGGAGATCGTCAGCAGTCGGCTGGTGGCTGATTTGGGCTCCTAGCTCAGCGCGGTGACCACTCCAGTGATCACATACGAACAGTGTGTGTTCAGCGGTGTCCGAGTCCCCGTTACAGTGGTGGCACGCGGCGCTGGGTGCTCTGGCCATCCTCGACAAATATTGCTGGAAACAACCATGATTCGTCAGGGTCTGGGTCATGTGGAATGACATAGGCATCCGCCATCCACGGCACGGTTCTCTCAACCTCTACGTTAGGAATGACCCGGCGAGTCCATTCCGCTTTACTGGTGGTCTTCCACCGGGCCTGCCATGGATTGATTGCGGCTTTCGATGGGCAGACTCCTCCAGGATCTACTGGTGCGCTTAGGGATGGCAAAAATCGCAGCTATCACGATGTATCGAATAATCGATGTTTTCATTACGTCTTATCGATGTCGATGTATCGAACCGATTAAAACGACGATTAATCGATACATCGGTGTTTATTCAGCGATGTATCGAAAAAAAAAAAGGCAAATTTTGCACTCTAAAATGAAGGATACGGTTATACCATACACCACACCGTACACTTCACATTTTATAAGGTAGTAATCATGGATTACACATTCACACTTGCAGGGTATTGAGCAACTTTAATATTTATTAAGCATTTAGTAGATATTGAAATCTACAATAGCTTAATTTTTATTTCCCATTAACAATTACACATTTGTGATTAAATCAAAAAATATTTATTTGTTTATTTTTATTTAATATCATTGTGTACATCATGGTTAACAAAAATAAAAATAATTTATAAGCTATAACATAATAATATTATGTTTACTTACTCAGTTAATTAAAATAATAACTAACTGGTTAAGTTGAAAAATATTAATTTGTTAGGTAACTGTTTAACTTTTTTTAAATTATTTTATACTTAATGCCCATATTTAAAAATAATAGTACAATTATCAAATCTATATGGTTCGCGCATATGTGATACATTACTTGGCGTTAATATTCATGACTCATGAGTTGTTACAATGTGGGCTTCTTATTCACAGTTATTGCTGTAATGCTGTAACAAAATAGTAAAAAGTATAAGCATGGTAAATAAATAAGCATCTTAAATTAACGTAACAATATTTAAACATAATAGAAATTCGCTTTATTCCAACATAATAAATTATTAACAGTTACATAATCTAAAAGTAACAAATTATAACATATTAATAAAAAAGTGACAAATAATAACATAATAAAAAAGTAAAACATAACATAATAAAACTGTACTTGTAAGTTGTAACTACAGTAGGTCACTAGGTAATAAAACATGCAATTAGTAGGTATAAATATTATGAAAACCAAATATCTTCGCTCAAGGAACTTAAAAATACTAATTTTGAAACACGTTTACCTATGAGTCGGTTTCGTGATTTGCTAATCGTTGCTCCGGCTTTTGAAAAAAGACGCTCAGAAGGAACGGAAGTTGCTATAATGGACAACTTTTCATTAGCAATAGTGTATAAATTAGGATACATGGTCTTATGAACTTCCCAAACTTCTAGGGGGTTTGAATTTACAGGAACAACTGGCTTTTGTAAATATTCATAAATCTAAAAATATAATAAATTGTAAGTCATGGTGCATTTAATCAACATAATCAAAATCTAAAAATATTAACCTCTTGACTTATGGGTTGCGTTCTCCTTTGAATTTGACTGGTTGCAATTTCAGAATGGTATGCCCATAAATCAAAATTATCTTTTTTACCATTATTTAAATCTACTTGTTCAGCATGTGAAGTGGAGGCTTGATCCTCAAGGTTACTTGGCTGTGGTAACTGTAACTGTAGCATATTTTTAATTCGGTCTATGGCAGCATGGCAATTAACTGGATTCTTGAAATGCACATTCTTGAATCTAATACAATAAAATTAGTTACCTTTATGAATTAGGTTTATATACAAATAAGGTTGTTTAATAATGATGAATCTAAATTAACTAACCTGGGGTCCAGAAGTGTAGCCAGTGGAAAGTCATTGAACTTTTCTATGTCTTTGAACCTTCTATGTATCTCACTTAAAATATTTTTTTGTAAATCAATGCAAATATCAGATTCTACAATAATACTCTCTGTAGCACTTTTTACACAATTCAATAATGGTATGACTGTGCTAATCACTGCATACTTTTCGCCAGACATTTTTGTTGTTAAATTTTCTAGAGGATGTAAAAGAGCACAAATACCTTTCAAATCATTTAACTCACGACCCGTTAACATATCTGGGGCATTTGGCTTAGTTAGTAAAATTCCAGAAATCATGGATGAAAGTTTTAAAAATCTTTCTACCATATAAAAAACACTATTCCAGCGAGTTTTTACATCTAAAATAGTTTTTAGTAATTGTCCTTCTGATTTTCCTATTAAAAAAAAAGAAAGAATAATTAATCAGGTAATTGTAAACATTTTGAAAATCTTTTTACCTTCATTAGTTTGACATTTTCTTAACTCATCACTGACAATAGTGCTATTTTTTATGAATTTTACAATACTCCGTACCTTTTGAAGTAAGCAACTCAAATTATTTGTGTCTGCTATTGATTTTTCTGCAATTAAATTGATGGTGTGCGCAATACACGGTATAAACTTATCCACACCAAACGTAGTTTGTGCTGCCTTTTTTATGTTTGCCCCTTAAAAAAGAAATAATTACCTATATTAATAAATAATCAAAAAAAAAAAATAATACCTACATAAGCATAGTTTCCTATAAATAATAGTTTATAATTCCTTACCGTTATCTGTAACAACAGCAATAATTTGATTTTGTGAAATATTCCATTCTGACAGACAATTCTCAAACATACTACTTATATACTCTGATGTATGTGATTCGTTTAATTCATATACTCCCAATGTACCTAAAAAAAAAAATCAAAACATAACCAATACTTACTTAGTATGCTGTAAATTTACTTTTTATAGTGCTAAATATAAATGTAATAATATGTAGAAAATATAGTACCCGAAACAAATTGTATTCCCTCCAAGAAATGTATTGTAATTCCTAAATAGCTTTTCATAGATAAATCAGACCAAATATCAGTTGTTAAAGTAAAATTGTTCGTCTGATTTAGTTTTTCCTTAAACTTGTTTGCCAAATAATTATATTTCTCATCAATTTTGTTTTTTATAGTATTTCTTGACGGTACTTTATATAAAGGACAGATAACTTTCATGAAATGCTTAAATCCACAGTTTTCTACTGTTGAAAATGGTTGGTTATCTTTTGTAATATAATATACCAAAGCATTTGTTATCTCGCCAGACTTTGATCCACCTTTAAAAACAAAATTTTACAAATCAATATAGGTACTATTGTCTATTATCTATGGTTAAATAATGCTTACTTGTCATAGATGTACAGAATGACAAACTATCTTTAATTGACGGCTGGATATTAACCCTTTTACGTTTTACTAACTGTAGGGAGACAGACGTGTTAATACAAAGTAATTTTTAATAAATATATCAATGGATATAATTTAATAATACATGAAATAGGTAACGTAAAATTTAAATAATCCACTTACAGTTACATCCTCTGAATCGTCAACTTTTTCTGGTTCTAAGATACTCTTAGGTTTACCGTCCAGTGTTACATTGTGAATATTTACCAGGTGTTGACGCATGTTAGTGGTATTACCTGCAGTTTGTAAAGTTTCACCACATATTTTACAAGTGGCCAACGTTTTATTAACTTTATCAAAGTGCCGCCA